TAATTAATTAAGTTTACGTTACGTAGTTACGTTAGTTAGTTAGTTAGTTAGTTTAGTTTTACGTTTTTAGTTTAGTTTAGTTAGTTAGTAGTTAGTAGTTAGTTAGTTAGTTAGTTAGTTAGTTAGTAGTATAGTATAGTTATATATATATATATATATATATATATATATATATATATATACATCAAGTGAAACGGAACTGACCTCCCACATGGTACTCACCGAAGAAATTTCTTGGCTAAAGACCCAAATTGAAGGAGAAACACGCTTAGCTAGTGCAGATATACATCAGCTCAAAAGCACAACTTTAATGAAATGACGACAGTGAACTGTCTGCAAATTTTAATCAAACCGATGGTACGAGTAAGATGTACTGTATTGGTTTTTGCAAGTTTCTGCAATATGCAACACAACCGTTGGTACAGGTACGAAGGTGTACTGGAATGGTGTATTCAGGTTTTCTACTATGAAATGAAATCCAATGGTACGTGTACAAAGATGTAATGAAATAAGTTTATCCACCGACAGTCCGCCGACAAAGATATGCACACACATATGCTCTTGTAAGTCTTCGTCTGGTACCTGAAAATATCTACATCTCCGTAGAGCCAAATCCATGAGCTTTGACATGTTTTTATCCTTCTATGACGGATGTCAATGTGTCGCAGACTACCTACACTCGTTCGCACATATCCAACACATCTCAGGTAAAATGCTTCAACGTGACACAACTCATACCTCCTCGACACGACTTGGAGCCGGGTTCCCACATCACATCATATCACAACACACTCTGCACACTTTGGAGCTGTCTCGTCTCACCGCTATTACTCCCGCAGTTACAGTTAGAGCTGGTCACAAAGATAAGAGGCTGAAGCAGCAAATAAAATTAAACCCGTACCAGAAATTAGCGCATGGAATGCGATTTAGTCGCACACTAGTCTGTACTTTCAGACAAGCCCTCCTGGAGGCGTTGGTCGCAACGCTACAGTCGATGATCATAGGAAACTATGGACATCGCATGTTAGATTACCGACCGCAAGTCCGAGCCTTTAATGGCAGGTCACAAGCACATGACACTAGTGTATTGTACACCATTTCATACTACTGCGGAATATCAAATTTTACATTGAAAAAAAATGATATTGATTTGCTGCCACCTCTCAGCTATGGCGTAGCGCGAGAAAAAAGAAACCGCAGAGTCGACTTGGTTATGAACAGCGTTCCAAATTCGCCCATAGGAAAGGTCTCTATCCTAACCCATCGGTCACGCATTGAAGTCACACACTTGAGATTGCCGTGCTTGGTCCCCAAGGACAATTATTGGAGCCATTCGTTCATCGATGCCGTTAGTCGCCTCAAGTTTACAGTATATCCTGATCATCTGTGTCATTCGTCGTCTCAAGTTAACAGTATGATCATCGGTGAGTATATCCTGATCATCGGTGCCATTTGTCGTCTCAAGTTAACAGTATATCCTGATCATCGGTGAGTATATCCTGATCATCGATGCCATTTGTCGTCTCAAGTTAACAGTATATCCTGGTCATCGGTGAATATATCCTGATCATCGGTGCCATTCGTCGTCTCAAGTCAACAGTATATCCTGATCATCGGTGCCATTCGTCGTCTCAAGTTAACAGTATATCCTGATTATCGGTGCCATTCGTCGTCTCAAGTTAACAGTATATCACGTCTACACACTGATCTCGTTGTAAAGAGACAGCAAGGCTAAATATATTTGAGTTCACCTAGGCTTACCATGCCTGTAGTTAGCTATAGCAACCGACACTGAACTGTTTTCGATATCTAAGCTTGAATTTAGCTTGAGCATTCCCTGATGATCCGGAATCATCGACAATATTTATCTGTATCTGCGGTTGAGCTTGAGCAACCTCTAGACCCACTGCCGACACCATTTACATCGATAGCTGTATCTGTACGTATACGTAAGTAATCTCGGACCACGGACTGAAACATCGATGCAGTGGAGCAAAGGCGGGCCCGAAGCCTCCTTCACACACCAGGTTCACATGGTAGTAGCTGCACCAAGTTCACATGGGTAACTACTCCTGTGGCTAGCATTGAGCACGCCCCAATAACCACCAATCTCTCGTCGATAGTTGAGATTCAGCCGCTTCTGCAGACACCGGATTATATTCATACCATGTCTTTCATTATTTAACCATCAGCATCACTCCTGCAGACACCGGATTATATTCATACCATGTCTTTATCAGTATCACTCCAAGCGCTCGATCACAGACCAGAATAAGGGGCCCCATCCACTACCGTAATCACCCAGTACGGTGTCAGGCAATACTATATATCCAAACTCGGTTTTTTCAGCACCTGTCTGAATCTTGCTCACTGCTGTCGGGTTTTCATGCGATACAACCCGCACGTGAGTGTCCCCTAACTTCGCTAACGCCTTCCGCACGACCTGATGAAAACAGTACACAGTAGAGATGTTACCGGAATAAAAACAGTACACAGTAGATATGTTACCGGATCGTACATCGGTCTAACAGTTGAAGCTGTGTGAGTGCTTCGACGACACACATGCACATGATATTAATTAAAATTGATACTGACGCTGCCTTGAACATGATATGATCAAATACGCCGTCTCTGGCAACAGTTCTCGATCCTTGTGACCGTCAAGTGACGTGCACGTCTGCATATATACAGATTCATATTCATGCATATTTTGCACGCGCATATGTAGACATTTTTACATACATCCGCAGATGTGTATCTATAGTTTTAGAGCCTGAAAACCACAGGCTCAAATTCAATTGTTACTTCTCGTGAAACCCGTTTCGACACGAAATGGGTTTTGGAATAAGTGGGACCCCAATTCCCACACAAGAATGAGACAGACTCGCTCACTCAACTCTCGTCAAATGCGCAGTATACAAGCTGCACACCCACACACACCTCTGTTTGAATGAATGCATATGCAGCGACTAATTGCCAGCCAATACATAGTAACTAGCAATGTCACCAGATCGTTTACACACCCAAAGCCTACAAAACACAGACATCCATCGAGTGGAAAACACACCGATTCGCGTACTTACGTCATCATTCTCCAAGTTGCATATCGAGCACGTACTGTACACCACCCGTCCGCCCGGCCTCAGCGCCTGACATGCTGATACCAGCAGTCCCAGCTGAGTGACGGCATTGCGCTTGCTCCTACTGACACTCCACTCTTCGCGTGTTATGGCTTTCCGGTGCTTCATCTGCGTCTGGCAATGGTGCCGCTCTGATGAGCAGGGGGCGTCTACGAGTATCTTGTCGTATTGGTTAGTCTGGTGTCGGCTCCATTTGGTGGCGTCGTACATGGTTACGGATAGGCGCGCGTGTAAGGGTGCGGGTATGTGCTCATCGAGAACTCTGCGTAACCTGTGATATACAAGCACAGTGAGAGGTAGACGTTATGAGAGATGCAGACATGCAGGTACTTAGTGGCTGCCAATGCTGCCGTATTGTAAACTGCGGGTGCTGTTCAAGTATCCCATTCTAAAGCCCAGTCAGATACGGGCGCCATTCCGTGGCGTCGTACACTGATACCGACAGGCAGGCGTGCGTGCGTGCGAGGGTGTGGGTGTGTGCTTGTCTGAGAACCGGTATATCGATACGCGTGCACTACCTGGTCCTCCGGGCGGGAGCTATCTCATTCATAGTCAGGTGTCCGTAGTCCGCATTCGGGTCTCGGGTGGCGAAGAGAAGGGTCGCCAGTATGAGACTCTTGCCACCGGGAGCAGCACACATGTCCAACACAGCCTCTCCAGGTTGTGGCTTGAGTGTCAGCGCTGTGTGTTGCCGATTGATTGGTGGGGAGGTGTCAATGCGTTGTATTCAAGGGATGTTGGTGGTTGTGCGCGTACATAGGGTTTTAGGGTTTTCGGTTAGAAACAACGAAAGCATGTGGGGTACACGGAAACCACAGTAGTACGAGATGGCTGCGTTTGAGTATCAAAACTATACACTACCATTATAACAGTTGGATGGATGTGATACGCCAATGGGGTAGAACACATACACAGATTTGCGAGAGAGTCTCCGGTTGGTGGCTTCGGTGTGTTGGTGTTTACACCCCATTCTTTCCAACAGTATCAGGCACTGCCACCGCTAGTACTAGTGCCAATGTGGTGCATCAATGGGATGGGTATGTGCGTATGTATGTACAGTTCACATATCTAGTAATACAACTCCTAGGCCGAGTCTTGACCGCAAAAACTTTAATTCTGAAATTCAGCTATGTGTGCTGAGTTCGCTCTATACACACGCAGTGTTGGTGTGCAAATACTTTAAGCGCAGGAATAGTATTCAAAGGCAAGGTCATATGATATATGATACGAATGTTATAGCTATGAAGATAAGCAATATATATATGACACCCATACCCACACTACAACACACCTAACTACGGAACTGCTCCTACAACCGTACGCCGATCAGCACGCCACACAGGATCATACTCCACTCAGAAACTACTCCAATTGCATGAACAACATACCAGGTAATGTGGACGCCAAATCGAGCAGATAGTGCGATGTCAGACCTCCGATTTCCTTTGTGGGCGATGGCAGTCTGACACTCTCAGTCGCCAAATAGCACGGGAGCTTGGGGTCCGGTTGCACCAGATCGAGTGGCTCTAGCACAGATTCGGCGTAGAAAAGATTGTCCCACGCCGAGTGTGTGCCTGTATGTTTCAACATAGCGCGCGTTGAGGCTTGAATATGCGATCAAATACATTGGGAGTGTCTACTATCGAAGGGGTTTGTGGGCGTGTCCATGTGTGTTTATTAAATCCATCTAAGGATAGTCAGAATCGACCAAATATAGTGAGCATGCCGCCAGGTGTGATATCAGTGTAGTTCCCAATCTCCCTTACGAAGTGTGTGCAGAGCCAGGTACACACAAAGATGGAAGCATCCTGGGTCGTACGACGTTGTGGCTTCAGAGGTGTTCGTGCGGTGTCTATGACGGTATCCATTATGCGTAGCTATGTGTGTATTCGTGCGAGTATCGTCGCAGCGTTTGGACACAGTGTACGTGCACACCACGATTGCCCAGTAAACATACGGATAAGTATATACAGAACAACTGACGTTCATATAACTAACTGTCCATGGTTGGTTTGATAGGGACACTTGGGTGCGTTCGTGTGTTTTTCTGTGAGCCATTTTAGATGACTCCACCCTTCCATTGCCCACACCAGCAGAGTGCGAGAGCATCAAAAATCAAGGCCATGTGCGAAAGAATACGAATGATAGTTATGGGTGTGTGTGAGTACTGTAAGTACGTGTCAGTGGAAGGAAAGTGCTGTGTGAATGAATACTAATGATAGTTATGGGTGTGTGTGAGTACTGTAAGCACGTGTCAGTGGAAGGAAAGTGCTGTGTGAATGAATACTAATGATAGTTATGGGTGTGTGAGTACTGTAAGTACGTGTCAGTGGAAAGAAAATGCTGTGCAAATGAATACTAATGATAGTTCGGGGTGTGTGATAGTACTGTAAGCACATCAGTGGCAGGCATGTGTTGTGCTACTACTGATAGTTCTGGGTGTGTGAGGGTACTGCAAGCACGTATCAGTGGGTGAGTGCGCAACAACGGGACAGTCGCTGGGTGCGTGATAAAATCTTACTATTGGTAGTATTGAGGAGGGTCAAGTAAACATAGAACAAAGGTACCCAGATGAAAACAGTGACACCTAGGCCTACGGGTAATCCCCCAATGGGTCTATTCGAATTGTAAGAGTAGGTGTACTTAAACACCCAGTGATCGATGTGTGTGTCTAAAATATAGCTATTCTCGACGATACGGTAGTATTGTGCGTGGCGTTTGTAAGTTGAGGAGCAATAACATCTTCTTGTGTGCGTACCAGCTTCATACATCATATACTAACGCATAGGTGGGCATACTTGTACATGCTTACTGCGCATATCGAAAATCCGTGAATACCCGACTATACACAGATCTGAACCAGCATCACCGTGTAGTATCACCTTATTGCCAATGATATTCACTTCGTCTCACATTTTCACCAAGAGTTCGCACCAATTTTTTCGCCACGATAGGAGCTTTTAAAGCAATATATACCGACGCGTAAATACATGCATACATATATATACACACACACATCCAGATATGCAGGAAAACAAATATATATA